CAATACAAAGCGATTGCAATGCGCTTGCAATGCAACGCAATGCGATCGCAACGCAATGCGATTGCAATTCACGATGCAATGCGATGTTTGGGTCATCCTCCTTCCTTCTCCTCCGTTTTCCCTGAGGCCAGGCTAAGGGGAACAGTGGAGGAGTGGTGAAAGAAGAGGGGGGAGGTGGGTGGGAGGAGAGGGTTTGCCCCCCCCCCCCCCCCTTGAGTGGTGGTAGTGGTCGGGGGGGGAAAGTGTTTCCCCCCCTCCTGTCGCGCACCGCCCACTGGTCTCGAATCTGGGGCGGGGGGTGGGTTCTGTGGGGGAGCGGGGGGAGAGGGACGGTGTATTCATGCATAGATGGGTCCTGGCCAAGAAGAGGGCGGTTCGAAGCACACCGCTTCACGACCCCCCCCCCAAAAAAAACGGCTTCAAGCGTGCATAGGTGGTGCCAAAGGCTTCGCGTTTCATCAGGGATGCGCAAATACGCCAGGACCCATAAGTATGTAAGTGTGTATGTATAACTCGTGTTCCATGTGCACACGTCACTCTGTCATGGCCCAGCTGGCTATGCGAACGTGGAATGTACAAGTTTCAGGTATGTGCGGCAGCGGTTGCGTCATGATTATCCGTAGCCAGTTGCCTCAAGTTCATTTTCACCGCCCGTACAGGTCAGAATCCCCCCTCCGATCCAAAGAGGTTCCCAATTGATGGTGGTCTGGTCTCGTCATAGAGGACGGCCACCTGAAGACCCATGACGGGGGAGGGTGCATCGTAAGCCTTGGAAGGTCCACTGTGCCACCGGATGGCCCGAATGCCTTCCCCCGCCACGTAGGCGGCATCGCTCCGTTTTACGGCCAGGGCGGCTGGCATGGGCGCCCCTGCGAGGCGGGGGACTGGAGATGCCCCAGGGCTACGATGGAGAGGTGTGGAGCGGAGAGGGGTAGGCAACAGGAGGGAAGACAAAGGCGGATAGTAATCCGAGAAGACGCGAACACGCGAGGCAGTGCAGGTGACGCGTGATGTGCGGATGGGGGAGAGCCACGGTCTCGGTGCAATTCTTTCCTCAGGAGCTGTGCTTTCCATCCCCTGAGGATTTGCACTCCACCCCCTGCGTGCGTCGGCACGCCTGCTCGTGTATGCGAGCTGGCGGCCAGCGCGCGTACGGTCAAGACGCTGGGCCACAGGAGGGACCGATATCTTGGTCGCTCCTTAGATTTAGGCTGGGGAATCGAATCGTGGCCGAGGCTCGCCGTGGCTAGAAAAAGTCCGTTCGTTCCGTACCTGGCCTTCCTGATGGTAGCACGATGGTTGCACGCCCTCCGAGTAGCAGCACTACGGTTGGGCAGGGCGTCTGGGAGGGGGGGAAACGTACTCGTTTCTGCGACGGGCTGCACCATCTCCGAGCCCGTGCGCGCTCCCCATCTCCAAACCTCCCTCCTCTTTCCCCATTTTGACGAATCCAAGATTCAAACTTGTGGCTCCTCAGCGGAGCCCTAGACAGCGCTATGGTTCTCGACGTTCTCTCCTGCCAGGTCGATCCGATCCCTTCCCCGCTCCTACCCAGTGCTGGTTTCCGCGGGTCGGCTGGGCGTGGTGACCGAGACCCTCGGTACACCCCCCCCAGGGCCAGGGGGGAAGGGAGAAAAGCAGTTGCCAGGTAGTAATCAAGAGGCACGGTCAATCAGGGTCATAAATGGTGAGGAAGTCTCAGGCGAAACGCCCGCCGTATCGTCACGTCTAGGGGTGCGACAGGGGGAAAGTAATTATTCAAAGAAAGAATGGAGGAGGAGGAGGAGGAGGAGGAGGAGGAGGAGGACGAAAACATGTGGGACAGGAGGAGGAGGAGGAGGAGATCTCGGCCCGACAGCTCTGGCCCATGCGGCCCCTCTCTCTGCTCGTAGGAAGAGGAGGCCTCGGACTCCAAGGCACCGCGGGTGCCCTGGGCCAGGAGCAATGCCCACCAGCCGTCCGAGCGGTGGACCACCGGAGGCGCCCCTCGTCCACATCCCTCCACTCTGATTTCTCCTCCCTCCGTCCTGCTCCCGCGTCTCGTCCTCCTCCTCGCCCCCCCTCCTCCATCCTGCTCCTTCTCTTCTTCGTATTCGCCGGTATTGTACTCGTTCCTCCCTCGTCCTCCGCTCCTCCTCCTCCTCCTCCGTCTTCCTCCAGTCCTTTTCTTATAAATAACTCCTCCCTGTTGCACCCCGAGGCCAGTTTTATGGCGGGTCGGGCGTTTCGCCTGAGACTTCCTCACCGATTATGATCTTGAAGCTTAAGAATTGTCAACATTTTCGCAGATGGAGAGCGGGTCGCTTTCAAAATGTGGCTCTCGCCTTAGCGCCGCGCACATTCGTTTGCAACATTTGCAAGAGCTTCACGGATCGAGGGCGGGTGGTTTTCAAAACGTGGCTCTCGCCTCAGCGCCGCGCACATTCGTTTGCAAAATGTGCCAGAGTTTCACGGATTGAGTGCATGTGGTCTTCAAAATGTGGTTCTCGCCCTAGCGCCGCGCACATTCGTTCTTTAAATTGCCAGAGCTTCACGGATTGAGGGGAACCCGTTTTCAAAATATGGCTCTCGCTTCAGCGCCGCGCACATTCGTTTTCAACATGTGCAAGAGCTTCACGGATTGAGGGCGGTTCATTTCCAAAATGTGGTTCTCGCCCTAGTGCCGCGCACACTTCTGTACACAATTTAGAAGAGTTTCACGGATTCCCAAGCTCAACGTACCAGAAATTGTGTTTTGGAAGGATTCAGGGTCATGACGATGCAACCGTTACGTTGGTTCGTGGTGTTGAAGTCCGAGGAATGGCATTCTGGCACGATTCAGGATCGCCACTACGCAACAGTCAAGTTGATCCGTGGTTTTAGAATCCCGAGAACTAGAATCCCGAGAACAATGTTTTGGCATGCTTCGAGTTTGCAGTGGTCCTCCTCCTCCTCCTCCTCCTCCTCCTCCTCCTCCTCCTCCATCCCTTCTCCTTCAAAATAGTCCTTCTCTGTCGCACTCCAGGACGTGTCGGTAGGACGGGCCAGGCGTTTCGCTTGAGATTCCTTCCTCATTCATGATTCTGAAGTTTGGAATTTGCAATAGGTTCACCGATTGAAGGCGGGTCCTGGTCAAAATGTGCTTCTTGCCTAGACGCCGCGCAAATTCGTTGTAAAAACTTGCAACAGCTTTACGGATGGAGGCCGTGTCGTTTACAACATGGTCTTATCGCCTTAGCGCCGGGCGAATTCGTTTGAAGCGTTCGAAGGAGTTTCATTGATGGGGGGGGGCAGGTTGCTTTCAAAATGTGGCTCTCGCATTAGCGCCGCGCACATTCTTTGTACAAGCTCGCAGCAGCTTCACGGAAGGAGGGCGGGTCGTGTTCAAAATGTAGTTCTCGCTTGAGCGCCACCCACCATCGTTTGAAAAGCTTGCAACAGCTTCAGGGGTGGAGGAGCGCCGCGCACATTCGTTTCAAAAGTTTGTTCAAGTGGCTTGCGCCATTCCGCCGACCCCCACAAGGAGTGAGTGTTTGAGACGATCGTGGAAGTTATATCCTCGGCCAAAAGCACCCAGGATGACTCTGAGGGTCTCTTGTGATGCCTCTCAGGGGCCTCTTGGACTATCGTGGGGGCCTCGTGGGGACCTCTGGGGGACTCTCTGGGGGCGTCTTGGAGGTCTCGTGGAGCCTCTTGAAGGTCTCTCGGGGGCCTCTGGAAGGCTCGAGGGGCCATCTCGGTTGGAAAGGCTCGACATGACACTTCGTAATCCCCCTTGGGCTTTCTTGGAGCCCTCTTGGGGCCCTCCAAAGGCTGTCTTGGTCCGTCTTGGGGGGCCCCTGTGGCTGTCTTTGTGCCCTTTGGGCCTTCTTGGAGGCATCATGGGCCGTCTTGGGACGATCTTGGGGGCCACTTGGGCCGTCGTGTTCGCAGCCAAAACGTAAAATGCGAATGTGCTGAAAATGTAAGTGTCCCTCAGGTGATGGGATGATTTTGGCATCTTGGGGCCCTCTCGGCGATCCTCTGGAGGCGCGTTTGGGCTGTCTTTGGGGCCTCGTGGGCCATCTTGAAGCCATCTTGGATCGTTGTGGGGCTACCCTGGGCCGTCCTGACGCTCTCTTCGACTGTCTTGGCGGTCTAGCTGAGCCCTGTTGGGCTGCCTTCTAGCTTTTTGGGTGCTCTGGAGGCCCCGGGGATTGGTTGACGAGCTCGTCCCCACCCCACCCCACCCCCCCCAGAATGGCGTTTTGGACCCCAGGGAATGGAGAAAGGGGGAGGGGGACAGCCAAATGTCCCACACGCCTTTTCACCCACGGCTAGCAGGGGTCGGCGGGCAACAATTCCAAGGGTTCGTATGGTTGAAGTCCCAGGAATGGTGCTCTGGCACGAGTTAGGGTTGTCAGGACTCAACAGTCGCATTGATTCGCGTCGGCGGCGTCCCTGGAATGGTGTTCTGGCTGGCTTTCGGTTTGCCATGGCGCAACAGTCACGAGGATCCGCGGCGTTGAAGTCCCAGGGAGGGTGCTTTGGTGCGGCTGAGGATTCTCAGACGGTTGCCTTTTCATGGGCCACCTCTCGCAATGACAATGAACTCTTGTACAGATCGATGAAGAAAACTCCGAAGGAGCGTTCACTGCAACATCGGTGACGGGTCTTAGGTTTACACTGGCTCTCCTCCTCCTCCCCCACTTCCTCCTCTTAATCCCCTTCGTCCCAGAAAGCGGTCCGTCTTCTCCTCCATATCGTCCCAGGGAGCGGTCCGTCTCCTCATCCTCTTCCTCCTCTTCCTCCTCCTCCTCCTCGTCCTTCTCGTCCTGTTTTTCCTCCTCCTCCTCTCTTTTTAACAGAGAGCGGTCCGTCTCCGCCTGCTCCTCCTCCTCCTCCTCCTCCTCCTCCTCCTCCTCCTCCTCCTCTTCGCTTTCGCTCGCTCCTCCCCATCCTCGTCCTCCTCCGCTTCTCTTCCTCCTCTTGCGCCCTCGAGCGGGGTGGCGCTGCCTCTGGAGGCCCCAGCCCTGCGGCAGGACTCCGACTTCCGGGCGCACGTTGCTCGGATCCTCGGCTTCTTCGACATCCTCACCAGGCCCCAGCTTGACCTTGCTGCATCGTCAGGAAGTCGTGCACGCATGACCCGGCGCGTCGCCCCGCGTCTTACACGGCGTTCGGCCCTCGTGAAGCCGGGAACACGACAGTTCTCCGAACGTGGCAGGTGGCCTCCGCAGGCTTCGCAGGTGAAGCCAGTTCGCAGGTGAAGCCAGCCCGTTGTGTTTCTGCATCGCGTTTTCCTCCGAGCCTCTTGACCTCCAGGCGCCGCGCATGACACCCTTTGCGGAAGACGGCCCTAAGCGGTTTTGCATGGTACACGATGAAGGGCCACGATGGACCACCGATTTCAGGTGCCAAGCGCCCTGGCGGTAGAAGATCCCAGACAGTTTTCACAGGGGCCACGAGGGGCCTCCCATCTTGGGGGTCCGGGCTTCCTCACCAGGCGCTCCCCAAAAATCGATTGGCCTTCGGGCGGGCCATCCCGCCACCGTGCCTGGGTTGTGGGTCAGAAGCCTCTCGGGGCCATATTGGCCCGTTTGGGGGCGCCGGTGGCTCCGAACGAGTAATCCGGGAAGGGCCGGGAGAGCGCGGGAGGCACGGCGGGAACCCCGGAAAGTCTGAGATTTTTGGGCCCGGGTCCTTTAGTATTCCATCCTGCGCACTGAGGGCTACACTTCACCTGAGGGCACTCCACTTCGTGCCTCTCGGCGCGGTGCCAGATATACAAACTTCTCAGGCGAAACTATATAGGACCCTACAGACAATTTGCTCAGGAAAAACACGGCCGCCTTCTTGCTCGCGCTCTCGGCACCTTGGGCCCGCAGGAAGCGGCCGGCGGCGAAAAGAACGGCCCCCAGGACGGGGTCGAGAGATCTACGGCTTGCTACGTGGGACAATGAATGAGAAAATGCAGACGGCATCGAAGATTTGGGTCCTCAGTAGGCTCAATCAGCCAGGTCGCTGGCATGCGACACCTTGAATGCATGTGCACGCATTCCTCTGAACGACCGTTCTAATTTCGATCATCCATGTAGCTTAGGCGGCGTTGTCGATTCGCGAAGGCCAGGGGATGCCTTGACATCTTGAGGGAGGCCTCGGAAGACGTAGCACTTTGCTGCGCATCGCCCGCACTGCCTCCTTGCGCTAGCCCTCGCACCCACTCCCTGCGGAACTTAGTACCTCACCGCCTGTGGCCCAGCAGGTCTCCAGACGTCCCCCGAGGCCTCAGGAGACCCAGGGAGCGTCCAAACGTAAAACGATTCGACCCTCGAACCGGGGAAAGCAGAGGCACAGCGCCTATGCTTACCTAATGCGTTGTTCCCGCGCCCCCCTGCCGGTGTCTGAACTGCCCCCCCTGAGGCGGTGGCCCCAGCCGGGCCTTCATAGCCAACCAATTTGGAAATCATTTTGAGACCACACCATCACTCCAGGAACCACGGCTGGGGTCACTGATTGTGACCCGCGCGGCGAGTCGTTGTCTTGCCACTCGAATTTCGATGCTCGAAACCTCGGTGGCGGCGACATCGGCGAGGAGGAGGAGCTTGAGGAGGAGGAAGAGGAACGCGACTTAGAAAGTTTGATGGTGAGTGGAGAGAGTGACGAGAAGAGGAGGGTGAGTGGCGGGGATGCGGAGGTGGAGGAAGAGAGTTGGGGAGGACGAGGAACACGAAGAGCAGGAGAAGGAGGGGACAAGGAATCCTGGATCCTTGAACCCCCTGGCGGCGAGGTCGGCGACGGCGGCGGCGGCGGCGGCGACAGCGAGAGGGAGGGGGCAGCCCTGGGAGTGCGCCGAGGCCGGGGTGCCCGTAGTGCGGCCTGGCGCCCTCCGGCCCAGTCGCGCGGCAGCCGCCCCATGAGCGGCCGCCCCGAGAAGCCGGGGGGAGGAGGAGGAGGAGGAGGAGGAGGAGGAGGAGGAGGAGGAGGGAGGAGGGGAGGAGGAGGAGGAGGAGGAGGAGGAGAGGAGGAGGAGGAGGAGGAGGAGGAGGAGGAGGAGGAGGAGGAGGAGGAGGAGGAGGAGGATGGAGGAGGAGGAGGAGGAGGAGGAGGAGGAGGATGGAGGATGGAGGATGGAGGATGGAGGATGGAGGAGGAGGAGGAGGAGGAGGAGGAGGAGGAGGAGGAGGAGGAGGAGGAGGAGGAGGAGGAGGAGGAGGAGGAGGAGGAGGAGGAGGAGGAGGAGGAGGAGGAGGAGGAGGAGGAGGAGGAGGAGGAGGAGGAGGAGGAGGAGGAGGAGGAGGAGGAGGAGGAGGAGGAGAGAGGAGGAGGAGGAGGAGGAGGGAGGAGGAGGAGGAGGAGGAGGAGGAGGAGGAGGAGGAGGAGGAGGAGGAGGAGGAGGAGGAGGAGGAGGAGGAGGAGGAGGAGGAGGAGGAGGAGGAGGAGGAGGATGGAGGAGGAGGAGGAGGAGGAGGAGGAGGAGGAGGAGGAGGAGGAGGAGGAGGAGGAGGATGGAGAAGGAGGAGGAGGATGGAGGAGGATGGGAGGAGGAGGAGGAGGAGGAGGAGGAGGAGGATGGAGGAGGAGGAGGAGGAGGAGGAGGAGGAGGAGGAGGAGGAGGAGGAGAAGAAGGGAGGAGCGCGGGAAGAGAGAGGAGTGGGAGGATGAGGAGGGAAGAGGCCAGAGGAGGAAGGCGGAGGAGGAGGAGGAGAAGGCAGGAAGGAGGAGAGATGGAGAAGGGGGGAGGCGGAGGGGCAGGAGAACAGAGGAACAGGAGGAGGAGGAGGAGGAGGAGACAGGAGGAGGAGGAGCAGGAGGAGGAGTAGTGGGAGGAGAAGGAGGAGGAGGAGGAGGAGGAGGAGGAGAGAGCGCTGTAACCTGAGGATCGAGAGGACCGAAGGAGGAGGAAGAAGAACACAAAATCGAGGAGGCGGATAGGGGATGGAGGAGGGGAGAGGCGCATCCCCGCCATATCTGACATCCCATCCGCTCCACCAACCCCTTAATTCGTTTCCATTCGCCAGATAGGGTGTCCCAGTTGGCCTTGATCTTGAAAACGACTCCATCGTGCGATGAGGAGTCAGAAAGGGATGCTTTGTACATTGGACGGGGAGGATGTGGCGGATGAGCAGAAGGATGAGCCGTGGACGAGAAGGACGATGAGGAGAGACGAGCAGTAGCAGGATAATCACGAGGAGGAGGAGGAGGAGAAGAAGGAGGAGAAGGAGGAGCAGAATTAGGGGCAGGCGGATGAGGGAAAGGGAGGGGTGGGGGGCAACGACAGTTAACACATCGAGCGCAAATATGAGGAGGGACGGGATCAACCAATGTCGCAATGGCAACAACGCATTGATATCAGTAGCCCCTGGTGGGCCCAGTCCTGTGGCGCTGCCCAGAGCGCTGAAACACTGCACGTGTGTCCTGGTAGCTTGCTACCGTCCGAAGAGCGCCCTGGTCCGAAATAGCAGCGGTGAGACAGACATGCACTCGGTCCCAGGGCCTTGCTCGGATCGGTCGGCCAACATGCGGTAACATTTACAGGGGGAGGGAGGGAGGAAGGCAGGGAAGGAGGGAGGGGGGAAAGGAGGGAAGCAGGAGAGGCAGACTGGCTCACGCGAGCTGGCTCCGCCGTGCCATCCCAACCACGGACCCCAAGGGCGGGAGGCCGCTGGAGGTTCATAGAGGAATGGTGCGGGAGCAGACGCCGGGCCAGGCAGCAGCAATCCAGAAATGTGATGAGGGAGAAAGGCCCGAGTCCAACCCAACCCGGCCCAGCAGAGACCAAGAGGGATGGAGGGAGAGAGGACGGCCCAGCCTAACCCAATCCAGCCCAACCCAGCCCAGCGAGGGCGGGAGGGGAAGAGGCAGGGAACGAGAGGGCAGGAGGTGGAGGAGGAAGGAGGAAGGAACGCAGGAAGGCGGGGGATAGGAAGGGGAGGATGAGGAAGGAAGGAGGAGGAAGGATACGGAGGAGGAGGAGGAGGATGAGGAACAAGGAAGGAAAGAAGGAATGACAACAAGGCGATGGAAGGAAGCGCGGAGGAGGAGGAGGAAGAAAGAACCATGATACCAAGAAGAAATATGGATCAGGAAAAGAGGAGGGAAGGATGGAAGGAAGGATGGGAGGAGGAAGAGGAGGAGGAGGAGGAGGAGGAGGAGGAGGAGGAGGAGGAAGGAGGAGGATGAGGAGGAAGGAGGAGGAGGGAGGAGGGAAGAGGAGGTGGAGGGAAGGACAATGAGGAGCAGGAGGAGAAGGGAGAGTGTGGGGCGTACTGCACTGCCCTGGCAGCCACGGCGCGCAGCAGCCGCCGCCGCGGCCGCTTGCCGGCCGCCCGACGCCAGTGGCAGCGCGGCGCCTCCGGGAGGGCCGCAAAAGTCCGCGCCGCCGCCGCCGAGGCCGCCGCCGCCGAGGCCGCTGCCACCCCACAGGCGGCAGTCTGCTCCACGAACGGCATTTGGTCTGACACTGGGGGGCTCTGCCACCGAGGCCAGGGCACGTGTAAGGGCCTGCGCCCCTGGAACAATCGAGGCACGCGTTCTAGGACCATTTCTCCGCGATTCACGCTGGCGCCGGGTCGATTGTCCATGGTTGCGCTCTCTCGTGTTCCTCGCTCCTGCCTCGCACAAAGAAGATCGGTCGGTCGATCGGTCGAGGTTCGGGGGGCCCTGACATCTTCGCGCTGCCAAGAGAAGCACAACGAAAAATGATGTGCTGTTTTCGGCTCTTAGGGACCCTTACTGGGTCCTGGGGCCGTCAAGGAACGACTCGGGATGAAACGATGGTCCCCAGGAAGGGGGCCAAATCTCTGAGGAGCCCCGCTGAGACGAAAACACAAAGTGTCGGATGTCTGGAAAGGAGGAGGAGGAGGAGGAAGATTTGAGACAACACGAAATGCAACAACGCTGCTGCAGTAAACGCTCTCGTCCCAGGTCCCCTCAGAAGTACCGACCATCCGCGCAACAGTTGCACAGCCTGAACTTTGGGCTCGCATCATCAAGCCCGAGGAAGTCTCACGTGGGACACAAGCCGTCTTCCATCTGCGCAACTTTTCCTAGCTTTTATTTTAATACGTGCATGCGCGGCGCCAAGACGAGAGCCACATTCTGAAAACAAAGTATGATCCATCCGTGTGCGCGGCTCCACGGCGAGAACCCTTTTTGAAAATCCCGCACCCCATCCGCGCAAGTATTGAAAACGTTGAAGACGAGAGGCGCCAAGGCGAGAGCCCCATTTTGAAAACGGCCTGTGCTCTATCTGCTGTCGGAAATGCCCAGCTTCGATGGCACAAATAATTGTGTGTTGTGTGTTGTGGTCCCCGTCCCTCCCGCCGGCGCCGGGCTTTCTCTCCCCCCTCTTCGTGCATCACGGCCTAATTCGCATCTGTATGTATGCTCCTTCCGCCAGCGTAGTCACTCTGCCTAGCCGCCGACGCAAACATTGTGTGTTGTGTGCTGCGTGTTTGCGGTGTGCCTATCCGCCAGCGCAGTCATTCTGCCTAGCCGCCGACGATGAAATGTGTGGTGCGGTGCGGCGTGGCTTGGCCTGGCCTGCCCTGGCCTGGCCTGGTGTGGTGTGGCGCGGCGCGGCACGGGGTGGCGTGACGTGGCGTCGCGTGGCGTGGCGGTGCGTGCGTGCGTGCGTTCTCGCGCGCGTGCGTGCGTGCGCACGTACGTGCATGGGGTTATGTGTTTATGCGTGTATGGGTGCATGTGTGTGTGTGGATGTGCGCGTGCGTCTGCGTCTGCGTGTGCGTGCGTGCGCGTGCGTGCGTGAGTGTGTGGGCGTCTGTGTGTGTGTGCGCGCGTGTGCGTGTGTGGCGTGACGTGGTGTGGTGTGGCGTGGCCACTGGCCTGGCTTGGCCTGGCCTGGCGTGGCCTGGCGTGGCCTGTCGAGGCGTAGCGTGCCCTGGCGTGGCCTGGCGTGGCGTGGCCTGGCGTGGCGCGGCGCGGCGCGGCGCGGCGTGGCGTGGCGTGGCGTGGCGGTGCGTGCGTGCTTGCGTTCTCGCGCGCGTGCGTGCGTGCGTGCGTGCGTGCGTGCGTGGATGTGATGATGTTTGGGATGGATAATGAAAAGGATGAGGAGGAGAAGTTGCAGGAGGAGGAGCAGGTGCAGGAGCGGGAGCTGGGGCAGGAGGCTTCTTGGCACCTTCAGCTTTGGTTGGGGGGCCGATCTGGGGGGGGCCGCCAGGACTCTCTCAGGGGTAAGGAAGTTGCCCAGGATTGGCATGGCTTGGGTGGGTCTGGGGGCAGTCGCCGCTGCCTCTCAGCCAGGCGGCAGTGGTCGCAATTACCCATCGCATGGGGTGCAGAGCTCTCCTCGAGCTCTCTTGAAGCACGGCTTCACGAACACATGGCGAGGGCCTTGGCGAAGCGGCGTGACTGGGTGGGCACCCCTCGTGGCGGCGAAGAGCACAGAGCCAGGCCCTGCCGAGGCTCCGCCTCCACAGGCTGCGAGATGTTCCTCATCGGGTCTGGAAGCACTTTGGCCCAAGGCCTGCCGAAGGCGGGGCGGCCCGCCGCACACCACGCGCCCGCCCGCGCAGCAGAGCAGGGCATGGAGCCGGAGGCTGCGGCGATTGGGGCGCCGGCGCAGCTGCGGGTGCACCTGCTCGACGGCACGTGCTGCCAGTTCCTGGCGGGGCGCGCGTGGACGCTGGGGGACATCAAAGCTCGGGTCGAGGAGCTGCTGCAGATCCCGGCCAGGGAGCAGCGGATCATCCTGGGCACCAGGGAGCTGCTCGCGGAGGGCCCCCTGCGCCGCGGCGGCGGCGACCCAGAGCCCCTCCTCGCCTCCGCCGCGTGGGGCGGCGCGTCCGTCGACCTCACGCTGCTGCGGAGGTGGCCAGAGCAGGCTCACTGGCTGGAGAGGGTCCAGG